ATTGGATATCCACGTACAAAAAATGAACTTCCATCCATAGCTCATACCACATACAACAATTAACTCAAAATGGATCATAGGCCTAAATGTTAAAACTCTAAAATTTATAGCAGAAAAATCTTTGCATCCTTGAGTTAGGCAAAAATTTCTTAAAATTTAACACCAAAAGCATCGTCTATTAAAGAGTTTGAATAATTGATTAATGTTTCATCAAAATTTAAAACATATTCTTCAAAAGACTGTATTTAGAGGATTAAAGGACAAGCCTCTGATTATGAGAAAATATTTACAAAGCACACATCTGATAAAGGACTTATGTTGAACTTATAAAAAGTACTGTCAAAACGCTATAAAAAGCCAACAGCCAAAAACTTAGAGACAACTGATACCAGACATTCAAAGAATGAACACCTATCCTTCTCAAAATATTCCAAAAAATTGAAGAGGAGGGGAGGCCCCCAAGCTCATTTTACAAGGCCAGAATTACCCTGATCTCGAAACCAAAGAAAGACATTACAAAAAAAAAGAAATTACAGGCCGATATCCCTGATGAACATAGATATGAAAATTCTCAACAAAATATTAGCAAACCGAATTCAACAACACATGGAAAAGATCACACACCGCAATCTAGTGGGATTTATTTCAGGAATGCAAGGATGGTTCAATATCCACAAATCAATCACCATGATGGAAGATTTTTTGGGAAGCCAGTGTTCAGATCACATGTCCTGATGAAGAGACTCTGAAATGTGTAGGACATTTGCCGGCCTGTGATGGTTCTTTGAGCCGTGATTACTGGATGCCAGCTCCCAGAAGAGAGGGCCTCTGCAGGACACACGGCAGGTCTGAGAGAACCGTTCACAGGGAAGCTTGAAAGGCCACCTGGGAATGTGCACATGCATCTATGTGCAGTTGGCTTTTCAAGGATTTGGTTTTAAGCCTCCAATTCCACTACCAGGACAAAGCCTCTGGTGCAGACATCGCTACCATCACACACCCGAACCTGCAGAGGGCGACCAGAGCTGGGACTTTCTCTGAGCCGAGCAGAAAAAGAAACGCATGGGCAGTGCTAGCCACAGATACCAATGCAACTGGCTGGTGGGGACAGCTTCAGGAGGACGGTCACTGGAAAGTTTCCCAGGGGAAGTGGTGGCTGCTTTACCTCAGGGTAGATTGAATTGCTAGCAGAATAATAAACCAAGAAATGCTGATGTGAAGGATGCTGACATGTTGCCACCACAGCCTCTTTCTAAAGCGTGAAGCCAACTGTACCTACAGAAGGATTTTATTCTGAAGAAACGTCCCCGGCTTTTAAATGGATTGGGAGCAGGATAGAAGGGCCCCCTGGGAACAGGGAAGATATCCTTTTTGCATTTAAAGAGCCCACTGGTTTCCC